TATAATGAAGTTCTTCTTCTGCCAAGAGACAGCAAACTTCATATTATACTTTTAATTTCTTGTCATGGAATTTATTGTACAATTGTGGAAAAGAAGATGTATTTCATTACCATGCCTTCTCGAACTAAAATTAAATGGGTCGTGTTTCAGGCGAGACTTTTTTAGTTTTACGCTTCGAATCTGAGTGCACAGCAATAATTGATGGTCTTGGCTATTTCTCTTATGTCAGACAAATTACAGAAATAAACAAGTCCATCGACTAAAGCCAAAAAATTCGAATGTTCCGCTTGATACACAGTCGCAAACGAACATATTTTTTCCAATGTCAAATATAAGAACAGAGCAAAACATGTATGCGATACGAAAAAGGAAGCTTTAACAACAGTACTTCAGCTTCGAGGACCAATAAAGCTGCAGCAAAAAACCGACTACAAGAACCATCCGGCAACTTGATAACGAGGCAGTAGACTTTACTCGGCAAAAAAAGAAACCACGAAGGAAATATATCTACTCTTCTGCGAGGGCAGAGTGAAAGAGAACGAGAGTCCAGTAGAAAAGCAGCCTCCGTAATTAATACAAATCTCCGAGCATTTTGGCCGTGGGAAAGCGAGTCTAATAGGATTACGCATAGCAATGTAAACACCAACTAAGTATATGACTGAGGCATGTCTTTCTCTGCTCTAGCCTGCGACTATGCCACTGTCTTTTTTCCATTTTGCCATGCATCACGACAATTACACTCGTTAAATATAATATCCATTCGTTTAACACGGATTACCCGATTATTACTCTGTAAGAAGTCATAAAAAACAAACCCGTTGACTTTCTCTACTCGACAGATATATCACAGTCTTTGCCTTATGGTGTGAATTAAATTTATCGGCATTATTGCGCGCATTAACGTCATAAGAACTGCATTATTATCTATTATTATCATTTAATATAAACAGTGAATGAATACTATATTCCAAATTTTTATAGCTTTCTACAATTTATACATTTTATAAAATTGTTACTTGTTTTTATAAAATGATCACTTTATTTTATCGCTTACGAGGCAAGAGATAATATTACATTATCAATGATTAAACGCATTATTATATTAGAATAAACAATAAACACATTTACTTATTACTAGAAATATTATGATATGGCTTAGTTACAATTACACAATTATTTACCAAAAAATTAGACAGATATTCGTACTATATTTTTATGCTGGGGTTCGTTGTACTCACCATTTTTTGCCGCAAATTCAAGCCGCTTAAGAATAGTCCTTTGAGAAATCATTTATATTGCCAATTTTGCTCAAAATTTGTAGTAAATATAGCTTATGTATTAATCAATATTTCTACAAGATTTTAGATAGACTGTCCAACTCACTTCAAACTAATAATATTTCAAAAAATTGTTATTTGATGATTTTACTTGAATACACATTATTTTACATGTCATAATTTAAAAACCCCTATTTTTGTTACTATTATTTCAACTTTTCGGTTTAATTTTTATTATGAATTACAATAATAATAAATTTTTTCTTTTTAGTTAAACGTAACTCTTTTACCGCGTTGACGATCATTTTCATTTATGAATTTTTTATTCAATTTTACAGAAAACTCAAAGTTAATCTTGAAAGATTCTAATAATGCTCCAATTTTAATAAATTATGACTTTTAGCTACATTAAATTTGCCCTCAGAAACATTTAATAATTTATAATGAATTTTAAAAAGTGAAAATAACGTGCTGTTGGCATCAACCTGTGGAAATAATTTCATTGTATGTCGTCACACAATTAAACTTCATTTGCACGTATTTAGTATAGGCATAAAATTTCGCATGCATTATATGGGTCAATAACGGAGTTGTTTGAGCTTCTGATTACCAGAGCACTTGTACTAGTAGTAGTATTAGTAATCGCCCTCTGAACCAGACCTTTGCAATGTGTTTAAACTACCGTGATTAAGCTAAGCGATCAGACTTATGTGCCGTTAAGGTTTATATGAAAGTATTGAGATAATTAAAATGGAATTTTAAGTTCTGCAGTATGGCGTGAATTAACTTTTAGTATGAAAATAGAATGAAAAATACCTTTTTTGTTGTGAAAATAAATGTTACACAATACGTATGCAAATTCACGTTATGCATATACAGTTGTCCTTTGATTGCATTATAACGGGCAAGCCAATGTACATTTCGTAATGCGTTTGAAATTATTATATAAAGCATTCTAACAATAAGTATTGTCGAACCATAAACAAATCATTCAAATAAATTACACTTAATGTCAATTATAAAGGTTTTCAGAAGAAATTAATTATTATAATATAAGTGTATTGCTGTAATTGTAATACTGTGTATAGAATTAAAAAGTGTATTTCCAAAACTATTTATAAAAGAAATAATTTTTTATTGCTTAGTTTGTATTAGAAATAGTATAACTAATATTGTTCATTTGACTAAGCAAATAGGCCCAAAAGAAAACAAGTCAATTAAAATCTCGTCAGAGAGTGAAAAAATGTATACTCTAGCCTCGGCGTTTACACAGTTCATTACCTACACGTCTTACAAACCCCTCATGCGAGAAACCTTTCAAGTTTTCCTATGTTTACTCGTGGAAATGTTTAATTTCAACGAGCGCTCTCTTTCTTAATTTTCTTTTCTTTTTTCGTTTTACGGAGCGCAGCCTATTGCCAGTAATTACAGGCAGCGTCGATGTATCTTCCGCAGCGTCAATTCTGCTTTGAAGTAGAGCACTGCCGGGGTGTGGAGTCTCTCTATAACGCCGGCGCACGCGTGCCGATGATGAATTCATAATGGCTCTCGAAAGCTCTGGGCGGGCCGAGGATAAATCGTCGATTGCCAGGACGAAAAAAACGCTTTACAGGATAACAGAGAAAGAGGGAGAGAGCACGAAAATAATGGCGACACGGCTAATGGAGTGCTTTGACTATCGTGGAAAAACGCGAGGTCAAGCTCGTTCTTTTTTTTTTTTTTTTTTTTTCATTCATACCTCTTTTTCTCTCTCTGCGGCTTCTGTTTTTTACCTTTATCCTTCGTGCCGCTTTGTTTTTCGCTCTTCAAAAACAAAGTGATTCTTATCGTTTCGATTTCGTCTGGATTTGCATGATAGGTAGATTTTTTCTGTTTGTATTGTTTTCGGTTTGTTCGCGACCGACTTAATTCCAGATGCATGTTTTGGTATTGATTTTAATTGAAATTGTGTATATGAATAATCGAACGAATATTCTTAGTAATGAATTTTCCTTAATTAAACAAAAGTATGCATACAGTTTCGACAAACCAATAGCTGACTGAATATCCGACGACCGTAGTGCATGAACATTGATAATTGACATTAGAAACACAAAAATTTTCAATTTGAATTATTATTTTAAATAAATAGATTTTAAGTATAGAAGGTATATTTTCCGAATACATCAATTTACAAAGAATTCAGACGAGTCTCATGTTTACAAAGCAAATTTTATAAAACAGAACGTGAATAAAATTGCGTTTGACTTTGCTTAAAATTGTTATTTTATACTTTCGACAAGACCACAGAGATTCTTACAGCGTTATCTTTGTTGATAAATGACGTATCGTTTGTAATATAACTAAAAGAAGCCGTATCACGTAAATCAAATTTGCGTATAACGCTCAACGCAAACTAAAGATAACTGAAACTTGACTTTGTAAGTAAATTGAAGCGGAAGAGCATAATTCAGCATGACGGCGAAAAAGCATCGTTTAACATTGAAAACTTAACTATAAATTGTAAAAATATTAATAACATCAGCGAATTAATCAAAAAAGTTTGTTCATTTATATACCGCGTGTAGAGCATAAGCAGCAAACTATCCGTGTTCTTATAACTTCGATTGAAACCACCCTAATAACCCGTAAATTTCTTCAGAGCCTTCTGGTATTTCTATTTTTTTCTTTTCTCTGTAGCACGAAGTATTTAGCATGTAGTTCCACGGGGACAATGGCGTACCAAGAATGATGGACGTGGCATTCCAAGAGGACTAATTAATTCCAAATTACTGCCACTTATTTTCTCTCTCTTTCGCCGGTCGCAATCGTTAGTATATGTGTATAATAAAGCTTGGTTGATTCTAGAGTATCGATAGAATGGTTAATTTTTCATTAAACATGAATTTGCTTTACCTCTCTTCCTCTATTTTCCTCTCTTTCGGGTAAAGGCAAAAGAAATTCACCTAGCTTCATCCCTGTATATTTTCGCTCGGCTTTTGTTCTTATTTTTGCTGCCACGCCGTACATTACATTTCTAGCGATTTAACAGTTTGTTATAACGACCACTCACTCGTGAATATAAAGAACGATAAATTGTTGGTGAATGATAAGCTAATTGCCTCCCCTCTCCCACGTCGGTGATAATTGCATTACAAGGACAAGTTACATAGAGTATAATGTTATTGATCGTGTTTTTATTCAAATAATTATCATCGATGATATCACAGTAGAAACTCAATTTTCTTAAGAGTCGTTCGAAAATGGCCTGCATGCATACGAAGCTGACCGACGGTGGGCTGAGGTTCGAATTAGGTCAACATGTTGAGCACACTGTTGTAAAGCAAAAGCACCAATATTGCCTTAAGTGTTTACGAAGCAAGATACTCCTTGTTTGCGTACATACCAACTTCTAGTTATCTTACAGAGAGCCCGGAAAATCGTTTACTTGGCAGCAATTTAAATTCCAAGATTCACGTGTAATCCGACCACGAAACGCTCGCAAGTCAATTGCGTGTAGAATGACGCTGCAGACTCGTGAATTTCAATAGAAACTCAATATGTTTATAGTGCAGTAAATAGCTCTGCGTACCCGCTCAACTGAAATCAAAGCGCATTCGGAGCATTCTCGCTTTGACGCCGTTTCGGAACTTGATTTTCAAGTAAATAGAGTGAAAGACAAAGCTAGAGGCAAATAGGTTGGGGCTTATACAAGGCTTTATGCACTTTGAGTTGACAACTCACCTTGAGCCAAGCTCCTATCGAGAAGCGACAGCAACAGCAGTACAAGCAGCATCATAGCGAATATATAGGGGAAGCTTCGGTCAGCTGTTATCATAATCCGCGAGCGGAAGATTAACGAGGCGAGGAACTGCGCCGCCGGCGATGATGACGATGACGGCGCCGTTGCGCCCAGTTGCCGAGCATATCGCACTAAACGTGGCAGCTAGGAGCCTTAAGGCAATTCAAAAGACTATGCCGAGCGAGAACTGGGAGAGCGAGAGATCGCTGAACTTTCTCTACGATTTTAAGGTTCACTGATCTCTTAACGTGCACAGATCACACTTCACTGTTTTGACATTTTGCTGCACTGCTTTTACCCATCTAAATGAATAAAATGAAACAAACTTGTCACTATCACTGACCAATCTAGTTATCAATGATATATGGTTCCGTTGATATTACACACGCATACATGCTCGAGTGATAGCCGCTGGAGGCCTGACAATCGAAAAGGTGGACGAGTGTGAGGGCGAGAGAGAGTAGCGCGTACACGAAAAGAGGAGCGAACTGTAACTCGGCACGGCGCGAAGTGACACTGCGGCTCTGCAACCACCCTCGCACAGCGGCTGCTGAGTGCGCGCGCGTTCGCTAACCTACCGAGCTTGCGCACATCTCCTCTCTTGCTTGATTCTCGCTCCAGCCGAAGCCCGCTTCATTCATGCGCGCTATTCCCCTCCCCATCTCTCACTCCTTGAGCTGTTACGAGCCGAAAGCACCAAGAGTGCCGATTGCGCACCAAGTTTTCAACTAAGTGATGCTGCCTTACGAGTATACTTGTGGTTATTTGTGCTGATTGGTAGGTAAAGTTAACATCTATATGAGGTTTGCTCGTTTTCTAAAGGAGCGCGAAAGCTTTCTCGAGCGAACTCGTTAGTTCCAAATTTTAATCCATTTGGAAACTGAGCTTCTGGATTTCTCGGTATTAATGCATGTATGACAACAATCATATCATCGTAATGGATGTTTATAGTCCTGATCTTTTATCATCTTATGACATTTATTTCTATTTTGGGCCATAAACCTTTCAAATCCGGTACTGACAAATTAATTATGAAATGCCAATCTATCACATCTAGCTTCAACATGGATTATGTATTTTAATTATTTGCAACTTAAAATTCAATAATTTAGGGTTTTCGCCATTAATTTTGATGCATTCATTTGGAATAGCAAAGATATATTTGCTTGCTGTCAACTCTAAGGCTAGTTTAAACTTCTAACGGTCGTATGCTTTCAAACTTTGTGAATCTTCAATTAGAATAGAGAAAAATTGCATTTTGATTTTGGTTTGTAGAATTATGTGACTCATTTCATTAAATAAAAACACCACAGTTTAGCATCATTTTCTCAAATGTTCAAGTAGCATACTCATCGGTAGTTCAAAATGTAAGCCCTAATATTTCATTGTTCCGCGAAGTGTATTTTATCAAAAAATAATTCAACCTATTGCCATATGTGCATATGGCACGCTTTTTGGTTCATAGAAACTTATAGAAGAAAAAATAAAAATAAAACTAGTAAAAATTTGAACTCAAATTCGAATACTACAGGTCAGAATATATTCAAAACCATATCTTGTTCCAAATTTCGACCCTTGCCGAGCTTTGAAAACATAAATTTTGCTTAAACGTATCAATATTGCAATTTCGTTAACGAGATCTGTATACTCACCTTAATTAGTACTATGATTTTTTATGTTTTACCAAATTTAAAAAATTTGAAATTTATCCAATTTAAAAATAATTTTAAAGAATTATTTTTTTAAATTAATTTAAGCTCGTCAATGAACGGAAAAAGCAAATTTCAAGTATTCTCTGTAATGGACTCGTTTTTTATGTTTCAGATACTCCATGGGATGGTAAAATAAAAGAGTTAGAAACATAAACTCTGATTGACGTTTTTTTAATCACACATCTCAGGTAATCGAGATGGATAATATCGTAAAGCCATTATTAAAACGTAAACATTCAGTTTTTTCATTCATTCAACTGTATATTTATGTTGAATATTAGAAATAAAATGTCAATAAAGAGAAAACGCCAGAAATATTCATACCTTTTTACATTTACTTAAAAATGTTTCTCGTTAAAACGGAAGTTGAATAATAAGGTGGACAATGAATTAATATTATATTCAAGTAAAAAGTGGAGCTTTCGTCGATCACCGATTAAGAGAGCCTGCTAAAACTACAACTGAACGGTGTCAGAAGTACATGGATCTCTTTTGTACTCGCAGCTGAATTTGTATTCTTCGGCATTAGGTCTCTGTCTCTGTCTCTGTCTCTCTCCCTCTCTCTTCGTATTTTCGTAGGCATTATCTACGTGTTCTCCCTTCCTCCGGTTGCTGTAGCTCCAATAGCCCGTGCACGCATTCCGCTCTTGCGGCAGAGAGGAGCATTCACGCGCGGTTGGCGCGCATTTTCCAAGGAACAATGGCAGCGACAATTATCGCTGCGTGCCAGCTCTGCTGCGTGTACCCAATGATCTTGTTTCGCTGGGGCAAACGAGCGCGCTTATTTGGAAACTTCTTGCCTGCCGAGGCAATGTGCTAATGCCGCTGCTGGAATTTTTATTGCGACGTTCCGACTGCAATTGATGAGGGCTCTCCTTGCTCTCTCTCTTCCTCTCTCGCTGACATTCTTCATGAGCTATTGCTATAGTTTCTCTTCTTCTTACATCATCCTATTTCTCTTCTCGTAACTCCCTTTTTCTTGCTTTCTGTTTCCAAGGTTGGAATACTTGTATCTTCGTAGCTTGTGAATAGGGATGTCCTTTCTTTCTGCTCTACTTTTCCGATGTTTCTCTCTTCTATTTTTTTTCTCTCGCTAATCCTATTCGTCGTGTTTGAAAAACCTGCATTTTATGCTAATGTTTACCATGCACGTGGCAAAATTAAAGTTCGAAAAACTGCACAAACAAAATGTTTCTTCTGGAATTTTCCTGTGACAATTCCGTCGCTCATTTATTAATAAAATTTTAAAGTAAGAGAAAATTTAGTTTACTAAATTCTGTATGTTTTATGTACGTTAGTTAATAAGTTTGTAAGTAAACTTACATAAGTTATGTAATCAACTTGACACTTGCTGAAATTTGTTTATAAACTTTGAGTTTTTCAACAAATCCTTTTTTACGATAACCATTTTATGATAAGCATATGGTTAAAACGTTTCGTTGGTAGCGCACAAGAAAACTAATTCTTCGATGAAAACCATGCGTGTAAACGATGTAAACTTGTTTGTGTAAGTGATTTACATATCGAACCATTACATCATACATTGGCTGATATGAATTTTAGATTAAGTAGAAATCCTGACATAGAAGCTTTTTTATAGAGGTCAAATTGGATTTGTACCATTTATAGACTATAACTTCAATTTCTATATGAATATATCTAGTTTGCATGAAAGTCACTGTTCATTGTATTTTACAATGGTTTTTTTAACAATAGGTCTAGTGGTTTTCGTATAACAATATTCCAAACAATGATAAAAGTAGAGCGGACGTACGTTGTAGCGTATGTTCTTTGATTGGACTTTATATACTTTAAACTTTGTAATTGATTTAGCTTTAAATGCGACGTACAAATAACACAGTTTACGTGGCATTTAAAATCAAAAAATAATATTAAAACTAGTACTTTTTCAATTTTTTTAAATTTAGCAACATAATAGCTATATTAGCCATAAGAATAAAATAAAGTGATATGGTTGATAGAAATAATCAAGTAATCAAAGAATGTTTTGAATGTCTTGCACGTGAAGTAATAACAAATTACATAAGCAATGATAATACAAAGTAATTGTTGGAATAAAATCAGCTCACAAACTGTATTTTAATTCAATAAAACTGAAATTATCAAGTTTGGTCTATGTTGAGCTTTTCAGCTATTTTACCTTTAATTTGCAATGCCGATCTCCTAATCAAAGCAGCAAACGAAATAGATAAATAGAGAGAGAGACAGAATAAAGTTTGCTTTATTAAGAATGCCATTCTTACAGTATAAAGTATTTCAATTTGAATATTATGTGAATCACTGACAAAGACAGCCCAAAGAAAAAAACTTGGGAATAGAAAAGTTGGAAGTTTATTATTCTAAAAGTTGGCGGGCAAACGAGATTTCTCAAGGCAAATTAAGGCTCCCTTTGGAGATGTGTATGTGACACGCTCGTTTTCTGACTGAAAGAGAGGGAGTGAGAGGGATGGTATAGTACACAACTCGTTCAATGAAGAATGAAGTTTCATCGAATTAAACTTTCTCTCAGAAAGCCAAGACGTCGAACTAGGCAACGGCAATGCGACGACGACGACGACGAAATATGCATACGCACCGCTCGCTATTCAAATTTCAAATTGTCGGGGATCATTTCATCCAATTCAATTATGTTTCTTCCTCCAGCATCTTGATAATGATTGTTGACCGGCCATTGAACTATTTGGTACTCGCTAATAAAACTTCGCTAATGGCCAGACTTGACCTACTTGCACGCCGTGAAATTATACCAAGTGCGAGTAGCCGAACTTACTCTCGCGCTCGATCACTACCCTACTTCCTATTCCAACTTTTTCAACTTTTTCATACGGCTTCATCTGTACGTACATATTTAACTTCCCGTAACAAATATATATACATTCACGCTAAACTCGCATTTCGTGCTCCGTTCTCGTTAGATAGCTAGTTTGCTTTTTCCAACTGATAGGGAGCGCTTTATCAAGGAGAGTTTTTGAATCGATAAAATGTCGTCGTGAAACGTAGCGCAGCTACGTATAGTTAACATTTTATCGATAAACTCCTCATCATCATTCAATTACGCATTACAGTATGACAAATAACAAGTGACCTTTCGAAAAACCAATTAACTTTTTCACTCGTAAATTTTCAGCTCGTCGGAAGCTTACGAGTACGTGCGCGCTCTCTCTGTTTCTCTCTCCCTCATATACTCGCTGCAAATATGTAATCAGCATAGCAACTTCGCAAATTGCCAATATGTCTGTAGGTATACATACATACATCAAGCTCATCCATACGAGGAAAAAAAAATTTGACGCGGAGCGACGGCAGGCGTGGCGCTACGCTTCGCGTATATATAAATATACTATCCGAGTAAATCGTCAGCTCTGTCACGTAAATGTTATACAACGCGCTACGCAGCTGGAGCAAAAGAAAACTTGTGTTTACTCATAAATGCAGTAGTCATCGAGGCGAATAATGTGACACACCCAATGTGTAACCATATAAATACCAAATAAAGGATAAACGAAGCGTCAATGTCGCCGTCTTGTTTGCCATGAATAATGCTGACCACTGGAGAAATTCAATCTTTTTATGCAGACATTTATTTTATATTTTCGACTCACGCTTTACTTAATAAATATACCGCGCGTTCGATAAATTGATTTAACGAATCGAACGAAAATAATTGATACAAGGAATTTTAATAATATTTTCATATTTTTGATTATTCCATTAAAATAATAAATTAGATATGTTCATGGATACAATAAACTAAGAGCA